TATACTAAACAATATCGGGCTAACTAAATACAACAATAATCCACAGAACATACGCATTTGATCGGGAGAACGATAAACATTCAAACTGTTTTTTAAGTCAAGAAATAGAGTTGTGGGGAGTCCCTTCGTAAAAATATCAGCATACTGAGAACTAGAAGGTACATGAAGATCGCGAACAAGGCCCACAACAACTTTGTCCCGGGAAAAGTGAACATCGATCTTTACGTGTTTGGTGCGTTGATGTTCCGCCGGATCAGTAGACATGTAAACAACGATGACATTGTCACAATAAACAATGGTGTTATTGGTCGTCGTACACTAAAGTTCCCGAAGGAGTCGCACGCCACGATACTCGGCTAAGCTGGAACGTGATATGATACCCTGATGTTTTAAGGAACACAAAATGATATTGTCTCTCATATATACATAGTAACCTGATGTGGATCTCCGAGTGGTTGGGCATCCCCACAGTCGGTGTCTGAGTAAGCAATGAGATCAGAGGAGGTAGATGCATGAAATTGCAGACCGTGGCTAATGGTGCCTCGAATGTACCGAAGGACATGTTTGAGATCATGAAGATGAGGCTCTTAGGAGTCGTATATAGGCAAAGCTTCTAGACTGCAAAAGCAATGTCTGGTGAAAGTCGAGTGGTTGGGGAACACGAAATGATAGTCTCTCATATATACATAGTAACATGACGTAGATCTCTGAGTGGTTGGGCATCCCTCAATTGGCGTCTGAGTAAGCAATGAGATCAGAGGAGGTAGATTTAACGCTGTGATTTTTCACCTTATTTTTTTTAAAACATAATTTAACAGATTTAGCAACGAAAGTCTTGGTTTAATGTTTATAAAATATCACCAACGTTACTTATTTCAAAACTATTAATTCAACCCTTTAAAAATTAAAATTCAAAGCATGCAAAACTGACACCAAAATTTAAGTGTAACAAACGAAGGTTTTGTGTGTTTTCCAAGTTGAGATGATTGACAAAATTGATGAAATTTATTACTATTACGTGAAATAAATTTATTTGACGCTAAAGACTTTAACAATTGGTTGCTGGGGGTGTTCTAAATTTCGATGCCATATGGAAGGACTCAATGAGACAAGTGCTTGAGGAGTGGAAGGAATAACCAGATAAAGTTGGACGTTACTGTCACATGAGATTAGGTGGCGCTGTCTCCAGTAATCCTTGACAGTAAACCCAAATTCATCAAATTTAATAGAACATTTTTTTTGGTGAACCAACAAATAGAAATATGATTTTTGATATTTTTGGGGGTGATAAGGACATTATTAATGTGTAAGGGACGATATGGATTGTGAATTGGAAAAGAGGTGTGTCCTACCGTAATTACAGGCATTAAGGACCCATTAACAACTAAAATTGAATGGGAATGTCAAGTTTGTAGGTCAATATTTAATATACCTACATTGGCATGCATGTGATCAGTCGCGTCCGTGTCCATGAACCAGTCGTTTGTGTAACGACATGGTGTGAAAAAGTCCGGGTAAGCTGGTGGGTTGATATGGGTCATTCCAAGTCCAATACCTATAACTATTTTGTGGGGTATGTAGGCTTGATTGATTTGTGATTAGTGCACAAGGCTTGATTTGTTGTTGGGTCGTGTACCTTGGCTGATGAGAGGAACCCACTTGCTATTGTAGTTGTTGAGGAAAGGAGCCCAGCAGCCTCTGTTGAGGCCATGACATCAGCACATGCGGGGGATGATTTTGGTCGAGTTATTGTTGTTGGTTTGGTGAGGGATAAAGACTCAGCCATATGGCTGGTTTAAAGTGGTGGTGGGATTTGGATTTGGTTGATGCCGGCGGCGCTGCTGCTGTTGGCGATGATCTGGGCGGCGATTATTAGGCCGATTTAAGGAGGAGTTCCCAACATGCAAAGATCGTCGAAGAGGAGGAGTTAGCGACTGGATTTCTATTGTTTGTCAGTCGAGACTCAACATCTGTTATTCCTCCATAAGTAACATGGAATGAGTTTCTGCAAAGGTCGGGAGCGATGAAGGGTACCTAAAAATATTTTCAACTGAATCAAACTTGGTTGAAAAGCCATTGATCGTGTAGATAACAAAGTGCTTGTCGGGTATCACATATTGAGGATCGAGGTTAGCAAGAAGATCTGTCAAGCCTTTGGTTATGGTGCAATAGACAGTGACGGTGAGGTCACCCATAGAGATATTCTGAAATTCAATGTTAAATTGCATGCTTTTGGCGTCCTTGTTGTCACAGAAAAGTGATTTAAGGTTCTTTGAAACTTGATGAGCGGTGTCGTCTTGCTTTAACACCATGCTGAGCAGAGATTGAAAAAAAGAGCCATAGAGCCAAAACTTGACAATTTCGTCGAGTTTCTTTCATTCCGTATCCGTCGGTTTTGGTGTAAAATCGTCTATGTGGTCGATCACATCAAACACACTACAATGTGCGGTGAAGAGATTCCCTCCAAGCATCATAGTTGAGTCGATCTAGATCGAGGATTAGACGCACATAGGTTTTGACACTGGTTATATTGAATGCTTTATGAGTGAGAGGGGCATTGGCGGCTATTGACGGTAGGTTGGGGAGGCTGTTAGGGTTCAACCATATGAAAAGAAAGAGTATTGGGAGGGAAGAAAGAAAGGTGAAATTTTTTAAAAGCGACACTTGGTGTCTAATACCATAAAGAGAGAAATAATTTCCTTTAACTGAATAATAAGTTACAAGATATATACATACAAATAAGGCTTTGGTCATGCTAAAAAAAAAGTCATATATATGTAAAGTAATATATATATATATATATATATATATATATATGATATTAAATTGCAATAAATACGTTTCTTTCTTTCTTATTTTAAAGTTGTACATTAAAAAATATTTTCTCTTTACACTTTAATGTTTAATCTTTTATTAAATCAACTCGTGTAATACACGGGTCTCATACCTAGTTATATTATATAGCAGGTGTAATACCTATGTATTACATAAGTTTATTTAAAAAAATTAAATATGAAAATTTTAAACATTTGAAAAGGTTTGAATTTATAAGAAAAATTAGAAAAATATTGAATTATTAAAATTAAAGTGTTTTTTTTTCTCTTCTAAATTTAAACAAATAATTTAGATAAAAAAATGAAGGAAACTAATGAAGTTTTAATTGAGAAGTGTTAAAATTAGAAGGAAAGTCAATTATTGAAATTGATATGTATTTATTATTATATTTATTATAATTATTACATTTAAATATTATGTGGAATTTAATAAAATGGAAAAAACCACAAAATGTCATGTGGAAAAAAATTTAATTGAAAATAACCACAAAATGACATGTGGCCAAATCAATGAGAGTGTGACATGTGGCAAAAAGATTTTTATTTATTAGAGTAGAAATATTGAATTATTAAAATTAAAGTGTTTTTTTTTATCTTTTAAATTTAAACAAATAATTTAGATAAATAAATAAAGGAAACTAATAAAGTTTTAATTTAGAAATGTTAAAATTAGAAGAAAAGATAATTATTGAAATTGATATATATATTTATTATTATATTTATTGCAATTATTACATTAAAATATTACGTGAAATTTAATAAAATGGAAAAAAACACAAAATGTCATGTGGAAAAAATTTAATTGAAAATAACCACAAAATGACATGTGACCAAATCAATGAGAGTATAACATGTGACAGAAGATTTTTATTTATTAGAGTAGATAACAAAAAACGAAGTCATGAATAGTATATTTTTATGTTTTCATAATTTGGCCATAAAATTTTTTTATTTTTCATTTTAGCCACAAATTTATTTTCTTATTTCATATTTTAGCCACAAAACTTTTTTATATTGGCAGATTTAGTCCCCAGACTTTCGTACATTAGCAATTTCAACCCCTTTACTTTTGAAATGACACTTTCCACCCTTTGTAGAATGATACTTTTCACCCTTTTATTTTATAAAATATCACTTTTACTCCCTCAAATTTAAACAACGATAATTACCACACCCTTCAACTTTTGTATATTGCCATGTTTGTATGTTTGGTCCCTAGACTTTTGTATGTCGACAAGTTTGGTCCCTCTAAAAACCATGCTCACAAAACGATAAAATGATAAATAGTAGTACTTTCATTTTATGTGACTTGACGATAGTAAGTAAAATCTTGCATCCGTCCCCCGCAAAACAGGAGAAAACAATTTCTAGTTAACAATAAACACGCTTTAAAGGAAAAATAATGTTATTGTAGATTGGTGTCAAATTTATAGACGAGCATTTAGAAAAGCAGTTTTGAAGATTCAAAAGTTCAAATTTAATCAGTAACTTAAAATCAGTACTAAACATAACATATCATATACACGAAACACGGGTTGCATACAATTCCCAATAAATAGAAACTTTTTGCATGCAATTCCTATAAATAGAAACAAAAAATTGAAAAGCTTAAACAATAAGAATGGGCTACAAATTAAGTTTAAAAAAATAAAAAAACTATTGAAGGCTATTTTCTAATGCATCTGGTTCACTGTGTATTGTGTATATATGTTGTTCGTAAGTGACAAAAAAATCATATGATAATTCGAAATTAAGCTCTTTCTCTAGCATTTTTTTTCATTATATATCCTAGCATTTTTTTTTTAGTTTTTTCTTAGAAAACATAATAATTTATTTGCAATAAAATTATAAATATAGTATTCGCACCAATATTTTATTTAAATTATTTTATTGAAGTGGGGGGAAATTGCATGGGACAAGTTCCAAGAATTTTAAGTGGACAATGATGACATGATGTACAAGCTAAACCATCCAAATAACAAAACAAATATATACCACAAAAGTTTTACCATTTTTTCATAAATCATGTTTAAATTATGGAGTATAAAATAAAACAAAATGCGATCATAAAGAAATGATATTTATTATAACTAAAACCAAATAACTTCGTTTTGGTTATAAAACAAGAGTATGGTGATAGACCAAAGCTCTTGTAAGATCATAGTATAATAATATATTTAAATAAAAAGAAAGGATATATAGATGATGAACTAAATCGACATTATATTATGCAAGTGCTAGAACTAAATCCTCAAACTTTCATAACAAAACTATTCGATACTCCCGCTTACATATATGATATATCTAATCATAAAGATCTCATGTTGGAACTGCTAACTATTGCTAACTTCTAGAAAAGTAACCAAGAGAAAATCAAAACAAGATTGAGGATGATGGTGATGGTGATGGTGATGACGATGATGATGATGATGGTTTGATGGATGGGCATGGAAGATTACTCTAAAAAACCAGTTTTGGTCAAAATGGCATTCCTCAATTTGCTGAGGTCTCTTCCTTTGAGAGTCCTCCCAACACCTTCACACATAGAAGAAGAAGTAATGTGACTTCTAGCTAGCTTTCTAGCAATGTATTCATGTGGTGGCACCATTTCACCATCATCATCATCATCATGGGCACCATGATTATGATAATCACCATCTTCATAGCATCCATCACTTGGACCTTTGCTTTTCTCCATGTAAATCTTTGACCAGTCGGGGATACCCATTGGAGCTGAGGATTGTTGCTGATGATGTGGCATCCTACCCTCATTGCACCTAGGTATCATTCTTGCACCATCGTGAGATGTCCATGCACATGATGATGATGATGATGATGATGATCTTTTCTTGATTTTATGGGGTTTGTTGACTTTTGTGTTTGACTCTTCTCTTCCCTTCATAACACTCCACACATCTTCTTCTTGAAAATCTTGATCCTCCATCGAACTCTTTCCATTCCAATCTGCCATTGCCTTCAATCTTTAACAAAATTTAAACACAACCAAATGAAATTAGCAACAAGCCCACATAGAAATTTGTGTGCTTCTCAATAAAATGACCAAAAGATTTGTGCTTTGTGTGTGTTTTCAGTGTGTGTATGATGAAAGAAAATACGAACAAAAGCAGGAATATACCTTGCTTCCCAGTGTCTTTTTCAATAAGCCCCCAAAGTTGAGAGCTTTTACAAAGTTTTTCTCAAATGGTAAAAGCACTCAACAGAAGAAGCCAATGAACCAAAAGGTTAGTAGAAGCATAGAAAGTGAAACTACCCTATTTTTTTCTGTGGTTTTGCAAAATTCCAAGAGGGCAAAAAAAGCACTTCTTTCGAGAAACTGAAAAATGGGCTTTTGGGAAAACGAAATCAAAGAAGATGAGACAAAAAAGCACCTTTTAATTCTAACCCGTGTGATCAAGATAAGTTATAGGGTATGACTTCATATTTATACTTATTTTACAACAATTATAAAGATATTAAAATTTCATTTTTAAAGAGAAAAAAATGGTAAAGAATCTCAGTCACTCTTCACAAGAATGAATACATGATAAGAAACTGAAAGGTGTCAACTTTTTCTGATTTCAAGAAAGTTCAAACACACAATTTATACATACATATGTATGTATAGAGAGAGAAGGGGAGGATAGTGAGGAGAGAGAAGGAGAGGATAGAGAGGAAAAAGAAGAGCATCAAGATACCATTTTTTTTGCCTAACTATGGGGAAAAGGTATTGGGTGTAGTTAGAATTTTCCTGAAATAGTTCTTGAAAAAAGAAGTCTAAAAAGCCCATAGATTTTGCTTCAGAAGAATGGAGAAAGAAGAAGATCAAGAATCATGAGATTTTTTGTTTGTAAACTTGGAAAGGAAAAACCTAAATTGGACATGTGTTTCTTGTTACCTAAATCTTTAGTCTTGATATATTACCGTAATTTAAAATTAAATTAACCATTATAAACAAACTAATTAAAAAAAGCTATTTTTTTTAAATGGTCACCTAGTCCGGAATACAACATCCCAGACTAGTTAAGATTATTCTGGAGTTGATGGTAGTTAGTAGAAGATTCGTCTGAAATCTCACCCTCGTACATTCCGGACTAAAAAGTGTATTCTGGATCCTTTGTCCGGAATGTAGACATTCCATAGTAATGTTCCGACGTGTTAATATAGGGTATTTATATTGCCATTGTTGCTACATAAACCAAATACAACTTTTGGATAATAAAAAATGAGTATGTATAAGCAGTTTTTTAGAGTACATGTTTCGAGTGGAGGACAATGAACGCGAATCCACAGATCTATGCAGTGTATTGTTTCAGACTAAACATGCTTTGGTGTAGATTTAAACAATGATATCAAGTTTTTTTTGGTTGATTACGTTGGTTGCTTCGAAGTCCAGGTTACATACTAATCAAATACGTCTATCTTTTCAATGTCATGAATTAAACATAGTTATACAAATTCTTGACGATAGTGATGCCAAATATTTTCTTACTTTTGTGAGTAGTATGGCTCCTAACACAATACAATTGTTTGTTGTTAATCATGTTTACGGAAAGTGGTATTAATCGATTTCCACAGGAAAATCGTTCTGGTGGCAATGGGTCTCCCGATGCTGGAAGTAACGAAATTTATAATTTATTACATATAACATTGAATCAAGTTCCTTCTTATAATAGGATTGTACAAATGGGTGATGTTAGGTATAGATATAAAGTTGTTGATGATGTTGGTCCAACATTTGATGTTGATGAATCTCCAATTGATTAAGAAAAAGTAATGATGATAGTATAATTTCACACGACGGTCTAGTGGAACAATTCCAAAGCTTTACTAAATTTGTTGGGGATGTGATTGAATCTAAAGAGGAGGAAGTTGAGCCGAACAAGCTTGATAGGAAAAGTGCCCTTATTATTTTCAAATTATGAAGAAACATAAAGCACTCATTGAGGGATGCCAGAACCCTTACCATTGCTCGAATTAACATATCAAAAATGTAAAGGTTTTATAGCCCCCAATCTATGTGAAGTTGTCTCAATAGTTTAAATGAAAAGAAGAGCTTAAACTTAGTTTAGGATTCAAATGTTTTATTGAAAACTTTCAAATTAGAGTGAGAAATCTACAACATATAGGTTTGAAACTGTTTGCTTTGTGAAAAATTATAAATGGCAATTAAGGGATACAAAAGATAGAGATATTGATTCAATTCAAGTCCATAAACTATCGCAAAGCCACACATGTTTAAACAAATAACTCTGTCCCCATCATCTCCAAGCCAACAAGATAGCGTTGGGTCATTACATGAATGAAAAATTAGCTAATAGTACGTGGATTATGATGCGGGGAAAGCAAATCCAACGAACTATACTTGGTGTACATATTTTGTATTAGCAAGCATGTAGTGCAAAAATGTATGTTCTAAATATGTTTAGAGGGACCCCTACAGAAAGCTTTCAAATACTTCTTTTATATTGTTACAATTTAGAGAGGAGGAATCCAATGATCATTACATATATAAAGAAAGATGACAAAAAAAATTTTGAATATATTTTCTCCGCTATCGTTTACGTGGTAATATTTCTTATGCATAATTTTTTTTGTACTTTTTATACATGTATCTTATCTAATTACTAATCTATTATATTATTGTGTAGATTCGAGCGTTTCAAACTTGTTTGCATCCTATTATTATCATTGACGGAGCCCACCTAAAAGAGAAATACCTTGGAACTATGTTTGTAGTAGTAGGCATGTACGATAATTACCAAAGTCTTCCAATAGCATTTGGCATTGAAAAAAACAGCAAGAGGGGGAATCATGGGCATGAATTTTATCGAGACTGAAAGAATGTATTGGGGATATGACCCATTTGGCTATTATATCTGATAGAGCTAATTCCATTGAATATACCATTCAAGCCATGTGCCCAAACGCATATTACAAAATATGTTGTTGATATATGTTGATGTATATGCGAGCAAAGATCAACAAACAAGACAAAACATATATTTTTTTTGGGAGGCATGCAAAGCTTACCGAGAGTCTAATTTAAAAAAAAAAAGTTTGGCTAGGCTATGACGTGCTTTATCCAATGATTGGCATACATGGATAGAAAAATTTGGTAACCATAAATGGGCAATTTCATGCTTCCCTGGTGTTCGTTATAAGTTCATGACATCAAACAACATCGAGTCTATCACTACGTTATCAAAAGACACACGAAAACTACCACTAACAACGTTGATTGATTTTTTTTCGAGCAATAATGTAGCAATGGTGGTGTCAACATCGTAATATAGTAAGTATTTAAATAAATTATATTAATTTGTAAATTATTGCAACGCTCGCTTCATGTATCGATTTCTTTTCGGAAATTTAGGGTTTTAGACTGGAACTCGACGAGTTGGGGAGCTCCAACTCGTCGAATAGAGATCATTGTGGGACGCGGGATTTAGGGCTACTCGACGAGTTGGAAGGCCCAACTCGACGAGTAGGCGCTGTAAAGGAAAACCCTAAATTTTAGGGTTTGCACCATATATAATCTCCTTAAAACCTTGAGCTGACCTTCCATCAGGCTCCAAACCCTAAGAACGTCAGTGCTAAACCCTAATCTCCATTTTCCCTCATATTGTGAGCTAGAGTGATTTTTGGAGCTTAGGAAGAAGAAGATAGTGAGAAGAAGGAGGAGATCCAGCAAACAAAGCCCTCACTCTTGAGCTTGACCATCTTGTGGACTATTATAAGCACTCAAGATTTGATTTTTATCTTAGAGTATGAACAGATCTTGAGTTAATCTTCATTTCCTATCATTCTTGTCGATTGCATGCATGAGGTTCATAAAGTTTGCAACTTTATGAATCTCCAGAGCAAAATGGTCCCAGGGTAGGCTAGATCTAGCTTTTGGTCAAGCATGGATGTCATGCATGGATTTTAGGGTATATTTTCCCTCTTTGACCATTTTGACTTCAAGACATGCATTGGACATGCATGTCCATAAAGGCTCCATCTTTGGAACGTTTTGAGGATTAGAACCTATTCTAGAAAGGAGGGATTCCAAATCCTTAGAGTCTTGAACCACATAGCTAAGCTTTTGAGCTTTCCAACCTTTGTTAAGGGCTTTAGAGCATTCGGAGTGGTTCTAGAGGATAAAGTTGGAAACTTTATCCTTCTAGACACCTTCAGGTTTCAGATCTAAGCCCTAGAGTCCCTGCAATCAACGTATCATCCGAATAAGGAAACAGGGGGAAAACTCGACGAGTTGCCCTGGAAACTCGACGAGTTGGATCGGGTTTCCCCGTCTACTGGATATTGAGTGAACTCGCCGAGTTGATGAGACAACTCGGCGAGTTGGCTAGGATTTGTCCCGGTTTTCTGGACTCTGAAGGAACTCGACGAGTTGCTAGATGCACTCGACGAGTTGGGGTCAACATGGACTATTGACTTTGACTGTTGACTTGGACTTTGACCATGGTTGACTAAGTTTGACTTTGAGGGTATTTATGGTATTTCAAGATTTTGACAAGTTAATCACATGATGGTTATAGGCAGTTGAGTTGGAGCTGCGCGTTGGGACTTATCTGATCCTATCTTATCAGTTCAACATTCTTGAGAGGTGAGTCTCCTCACCATACCTATGGGTCGAAGGCACCAATGCTGACCCATTTTATGATATGTGGTACACTAGTTGAAGTAGTTTTATGTGGCATGTTAGCTGGTTATGTGCTAGGAAGTATGCTAGTTGTATATGTGGTATGCTTGTATGGAAGACCATAGGAGAGCCCATGAAACTTGGATGTAAGACCATGTGGAGAGCCCATGGATTTCCTATTAAAGACCATGGGAGAGCCCATGACACTTGGATGTAATACCATGTGGAGAGCCCATGGCTTTCCTATTAAAGACCATGGGTGGAGCCCATGGCATCCTGGAGTAAGACCCTGGGGGGAGCCCACGACATCCCTATATGTTATATGCATGGCTTATATCGTTTATGTAGCTTTTATAACTAATATGGATTATGTGATTATGTGGATTGTGTGTGGTATGCTCTGGGGAACTCACTAAGCATTAGCTTACAGTTTGTTGATTTGTTTCAGGTACTTCTGAGCCTAAGGGAAATGGCAAAGCTTGATGGCGCAGCATGCACTATCTTAAGCGATTTTATGGGACACTATGATATTTGAAATAAAATTGTTGATGTTATGAATTTGAAAACAAATGTTCTTGAGATTTTGTGGTATTGGAAATGTTTTGACTATTTAAAAATAAAAATTTTCTTTTGAAAATTAGGTCGTTACAATTTGGTATCAGAGCCTTGGTTTGAGGGATCCGGGCACACTCTCGGGTGTGTCAGGACTCAAACTAAGGAAATGGTAAAATTGTTTTCAAAAATAAAAGTTAAAAACTTCTTAAAATGGAAAAGAAGAGAGTGCAATGCGCGTGATCGGCCGAGCCAAGTAAGTAGTTCCCCAATATGTTAGCCATGTTATACTGATATTTGAGTTATGATAATCGTATGAATCTTGCTACGTGTGCGCTTTCAAAATTATATACAGTTAGGAGCTTATAGCCTCAGAATGATTGATTTGGCCTTTTTTCCTGTTCTTTGTATGGTTGTGGTCTTAGGGTAGAGTCTGTTATTCGAAAGTCTATTTGATCCTGTTCTGTGTATAATTCGCATGCATAAGGCAACCTGTTATGATTGAGTTATGGTTTGTTATGGATGGAGCAAATCTTAGGATAGCCTAAGATTTGAGCTATACGGTAGCCTGCGAGATATGTTTTGTTTTGGGA